AATAATTTTAAGAATCGAGAAGACTTTCCATCTTTTTTACTACTTATTTGTCTTATCAGCTACACTCAATGTGATCACTAACCTGGACTCTTTTGACTCATTTTCATGTTCTGATTTTTACGCACTAGCTTGTTGTTGAACTTCTCAGTGTTGTGGAAAATATTTTAATGAATTAAGATTCATACAGAATTTGGTGTAAAGTGATACATGTATGAACAATATTAAATATTCTTAATACGGAAAAAACTGGAGTAGTCGATGAATGAGTAAAAAACACTAATGTATTTCTTCTAAAGTCTTTTAAGCCTCTTTAATATCTAAATGATCCAGATATGCTGCTTTGTTTTCCTAAAAACAATCAGTTGTGCTGTCACGTACAAACAATATTAACTGTTAAACCCAATACTTAAAGACTTTAGCCATCCATTCAAGGACAAAAAGCTATACCATGTGGGCACAAATAGCAAATAATTTCTTCCCATAGTAATATGATAAGTATGAATAATAAATATGCCTAGAAATTGGAATCCAGTTGGAAAAACAAGCAATGAAGATGCATTTGCTGGTGAGTTCATTTTAAATCCACAGTGCTGGTAGCTTATTGAAGTGATTGATTTCACTGGAAAATTAATGTGCAACCTTGAGAAATTTCATTACTTGACAAAATATTATTTATTATTTCATAGGTCATATACTGGCTAATTAATATTGAAACTGCTAGGCTTAACAAAGTCCAGTGTGTAAAAAAAAAACATTTTTCCCTGTCTTCACAAAGTGCTATGTCATAGTTATTCCTGTCTCAATGAGCTTAGACCTCACAAAACTACAGACAGTAATTGTGTAGAAAATTACACTCCATTGGGAAAGTGCAAATATCACAAAACTACAAGTGAAAATTAGTTATGGAAAATGAATGGTTTGTGGCTTAAATGAGAAAGTCAGACAGAAGGTTTTAAGGTAGGGACAAGCAATTTGGTAAGTGCCCTTCCAGGCACAGGAAAAATGCTGAACCTGCCACCTTTCTCTCATCTGGTTCCAGAGCTGACATGGGCATTCAACAGTTTATAGCACCATTTCCTTACCATCCCACCTGGAATAACTTCCTGAATTTTAATCCTAATCACGTTCCTTTTAAAGTCAGGAAGAAAGAAGCTGGTGTATCAGACCACCTAGCAGTATTATCTTTCTCCTTTTAGCATTCATAGAACTTTAACCAAGGAATGATGGTCAGCTCTTTTTTTTTTTTTTTTTTTTTTTTTTTTTTTTTTTTTTTTTTTTTTTTTTTTTTTTTTTTTTTTTTTTTTTGTGTGTTACCTTAGTCCAGTAATTTCCGAACTGTGGTCTGTAGACTAAAGGGAGCCCACAGACTGCACTGATTAGTGAAAAATTACCCCATAAAAAGCAAGTAAATCTGTATTTTTCAAAAGTGTATCTGAACGCAATTTCGATGGAGAAACACATCTTCCCTGGAAAAAGTTCAGGAAGCAATGGTTGATAAGTGAACAAATATCCTAATCCGGCATTTCCTATTGGTAAACTCACTACCCACTGCAGAAAAACACCCTGCACAGCTAAGCTTGACAACACTGTGTTGTGTCCTTTTTCACTGATCCAGAAACAGATGTCATGAGAAACAGTGGTTTGATCAAAATGAACAGGCAGTTGCTAGCAAAGACAGGAAAAGAACCAGTCAGCTTGTCTCCTCCTGTTTTAAAAACAAAATACTTTTTTTTACCCCCTAGCATTCCTATTTGTAGAAAAGACAGAGATATCTGCTGTAAAATCACAGTATTTCACTGGGATAGAATGCAGTCCTTCATGAATTCCTTAAGTCCCTTCATTTCTTCACAAACCCTCTGCTCTAATGGAGTACTTTCCTTCCAGCAGGATTTCATCTGCACCAATTTAAATTTTCAGACTTCTAGACATAAGGGGAAATAAGCTTCCAGCGTGCCTCAATTATAGGAAGTTTGTTTTTCTTTGTCTCGTTAGGCTTCCCTCTGCCCGTGCAATACTTGGTTCACTCAGCTTTAATACGAATATTTTCATTTAAAGACATAAAATCTGCAGAAATTTTGGACAAGGCCCCTAGTTTATGTAACCCAGCTTAGATGAGACACTCAGTTAAACTCGATACACATAAAAGACATTCACCATGCCTGCACAAGGAGCTTTACACGTGAGTTCATTTTACGCATACCAAGTTCTGCTTCTGATGGCATCTATGTGGGTTTGCCCTGATGTCAGCACAGATGCAGAAGGCAACAAGACGTCATATTGGTTGGTTGTGTGTGTAAATAAGTCTCAGTCCACAAAACACTTCTGCCCAGAATAAAGCAATCTATTCACTCAATTTTTATGCCAATGGCCACCTCCAAAGGAACAAGGGTAATACTGCACACAGATGCCTGCAGTGTGATTCCCATGTTACATGAGGAAAATCCTCAGTCTTTACATGCCAGGACCAAACTGCACTGCCACTGTTGCTAGAAGAGGTGAGCAAAGTACCAGAAATAAAGCTGATTAAAAACCTTCATTTTCGCCTTTTGAATCAGCTCTGCCAGTTTTCATAACTGCTTCTCTTGCCTTTCTGTGCACAGAAGGCATTCATAGATTGTTTGTCATCACAGTATGTAAGTTGCTGTGGCTGAGATATGCCCACAAGGAAACTGGAAAGAGTTCTCACACTTTTTTTTTTTTTTTTTTTCCCCAGAGAAAACAACTCCATGTCATAAAGGAAAGCTATGTCTCTCCCCATAACCTTGCTGCTTGCTTAAGCCTCGTACTATAAGCAGAGTGAAGAAGTTTGATTAGTGGTGAGCACTCTGAGGAGGCCAGTCTAACACACCATCTGAAGGTTTTGAGATTTAGCAGCTGTTTATCAGTGGTTGATTTTTGACACTTTTTCCAGATCAGTTGTACCAACACAAAATCAGTGAAACTATGTAACCAGTTATATTTGGTAGTGCTTCATTCTGATGTAAATAATACACCAGGTGCAATGCACTGGAAAAACAGGCCCTTGGAGCGGGGTTATGTTGAAGTGATGCACTAAAATAAAACTGGGGAGCACTATACCACTGGTCCCGTCTTTTTCCAGAAGAAATCTGAAGCTAGGTTTCTAACCATTAAACTGTTAAGAAAACATGGCATCTTTCAGTAAGTACAGAACAGAACATTTTGCAGCAATGGTACCAAAAAATCTTTAGTCTTATTTATACTGTGCCAGACTGATCTTAAAGTAATTCATGTAAATCAGAAGTAGCAACATGGACTTGTTCTGGATTTACACTGGAATAAATGAGATCACAATCTGGCCTAAACTACTAATGGGAAATATAACCCTGACCACAGATGAATGCAGTTACACCATGAAGTCCTTCATTACACTTTATGGACACTGACTTCACAGTAAAGTGGCTGGCACTCAGGTAAAACCAGATGGAGGGAAATTTGGCCCACTAAACCTTGTCATAAATATATTCCTTACATAGTAAATGTTATTGGACACAAAGTAGAGATGGAAAGACTGGGAGGAAACCACATCATCTCCTCCCTACTCAATGCAAGGTTGTTCCCAGTGCTCCATGTTTCAAAGTCTTTGTTCATTTTGGTTTTTAATGACTCCAGTGAAAGAGCTTCCACCACTGACCTTGGAAAGCTGTGTTACAATCCAACCAGAACTCAGGTCTTAATTTACGTCTTCTAAACTCAAAGGCATAATGTAACAGTTTTATCTCTTTATGTTGCAAAAATGTCCTGCAATAAGTCAAATGTTTACATTAACAGGAAACAGCCATGTATTCATGTTCAACAGCAATGTATTGGGAAGAATACGATCTCATGACTTACAGAAATCTCCCAAGAGATGACAATGAGTGTAATATGTTGGTTCCATCTGAAAACCTAAGACTCTCAGGCTCTCTTTTATTGCACAGATGTGTTTATGTGCTGATACTTGCATTAGCAGACTAGGCATTGTCACGGGAACTCAAAATCTGTCCAGTGTGCCGTAGACAAACACTGGAGTATATCATCAGTATGGTGGAACGTAAAGAGAATATTGCAATGTCCTTTAGTCTTAGATGGAAAATGAGTGGTTTCTGATCATTCTCTGTAATAAGTCCTTGATGAACCAGATGAGGCTCAGACACAGGCCACAAAAACACCAGACAACCTGAAAAAATGCTATGCAAGAGAGAGAGAAATGATTGCTTCAGGAACACATTGTCATAAGCTATGAAGAGCAAGCCCCTAAATGGATTTTAAAAGTAATGAAAGGCTAATTAGCTGGGCTGCAGTAACAATAGACAATGCTTCTCCCCACCCAGAGCAGTATAATCTCATCTGCCTCTGAGACTCAGCAAAGCTCAAATCTCATGGAGAGGCAATAGAAAAATTTGGCACTTTCTTTCTAAAAAAGGAATTGGCCCATGTAGAAACCAGAGGATAGACAAGCTGGTCTAATGCAATAAAATTCATGTATGTCTGTGTCATTTTGTGAAGGTCATTCATATCCTAACTGTTAGCAAAACAGAGCCTATCGTCCACAATTACTGTGCAGATTCCATCCATCAGTAGCTAATTGTAACTCAAATACCCTAGTTGCTTCCTTTGGTGTATCTAAAACCTGAAAACCACAGGCTAAACTCTACGCCCATCAGATCTGTATGCCTGCTAAAGTCACACAGACCTTGCAAGCACACTGCTCAGAATTTTTGCTTCCTGTCTACACACCAATGTTGACAACAGGTCACATTTTGATACAGATCCAGGCTGATCTGACTTTGTAAAAGATATTTCAAAAGCAGCAGAGCCAAGAACAGAACTCAGATATGCTGCTTTACAAGTCACATCCTCTTTGGCAGTCTGCTGGTCAGTTGTTGACAATCACAGATTTCAGACAGTTTTAACTTAAGTTTCCTTACAAAGCCAAGGAGATGGTGAGATATAAGGTTTTAGCTCACAAATCTGGTAAACAAGTAAGAGTCTACCAACACTGCTAGAAATAGTAATTTCTTTTCTCTTAGCATATAAGTTCTGATTTTTTTTAGTGCTCAAAGGTTCCTCATCCAATGAGGTGGTTGTTACTTCTGTATTTACACTGTACTGCACGGACACCAGCAAATCAAATGTAAGCAAAGAAAACTCCGTTTGCAAAACTATAATTTTGTTCCCTACTCTGCAAATTAACACTGCATGTGCATTCATTTCACTATTTTACTTCCTCAAAAATAGGTTGACAAGGGCTAGGCTGAGTTTTCAAAACTTACAAGCCACTCATATTCTTGTAAACATTTTATAATTTTTTTGCAAAGTATCTATTATAAATTATTGTAAACAGTGATTTCCTGTAAGAAATTAATGTAAACTCAAAAAGAAATGTATATAAGTGAACTACCATTCCTTTCTTTATCCAACCTGCCCAGTCCCTTGGTGATATCTGTCTGCACAGCTCTAATTATGAGAAGTCATGTGCCGGGATAAATGATGGCGTTCTCGGAAGTACTCATGACAAATGGGACACGTTAGTTTCTCCTCTCGTCTCCTCTTGCACTGGGATTCAGTTGAGGAGTATTCTTTTTTGTGATGTGACCGCATGTGGAAGACTAAATCAGATGTCATGCGAAAGGACAGGTTGCATTTGGCACACCAGTTCTGGGCAGCCACTCCAAAGGATGTGAAGGTGGGGGGAAGAAGAGTCAAGGAAGAAGAGGAAGAGGAGGAAGAAGTAGTGGTGGTTGTGTTTTGTAACTGTCCTCCTGCTTGTTTGGGCCACGGTTCTGAGGTATATGGGAAAACATTGCTCCGAGTGATGCCTGTCTGCAGCATCTGAGCATTACACAAATCACTGACCAAAAACTTGGAATTAAGAAGAGTGCTGCAGCACATGATGTCTGTGGTGGCAATGAAGCCAGACAGCTCCCCCAGGCTCTTTGCTGACTCACTCATGGGATGAGAAGAATTTATTGCAGCTCTTTCTGTTAGGCGCTTACTGGGTTTGCTGAAAGCACTCTTCTGTTCTCCTCGAGCTCTGGTGGGCCAAACAAAGGAGAATGCACTACCAGAGGAGTTCAGCAACACTTCCTTTGATACCTGCTCTTTACCAACTGGGACTGTGCCATCCTCCTGCTCTGGCTCCTTCAGTCTCTCATTCCTCAGCTTCTCCTTCATCCTCCTGACCTCAGTGAAAGCACTCTGCTTCTGCTCTAAAACATCCTTCCTAGCTGACTGCCTCCCTGAACTAAGCTTCCAGAAAGAACCAGCCAATGCATGCTCTCCCCCAACCTCTTCCTTGCCCCCACAGTTACGTTCCTCAGTCAAATTATTGGTTTTCTCCAACAACACTGTTTTCCTGCTCCTGTTGTTCTCAGCCTCTTCAGATTTTGCTCTCCTTTCTCCAACAAGACCAGGTGCATCATCTTTACAAGCTGCTATTTTGACTTCTAGATCCCTCGCCAGACTGTGGAAATTTGTGGTCTGCTCATCTAAGTTGCTCTTTTCAGTCTTAGAGTTCTGGAAGTTTCTCCATAGCAGGGCACTCTTCTCTGGGACACAGAGGAAGCGGACATGGGACAGGTAGGAATGCTCACATTTAAAGACTAGGTCGCATTCTTGGCATCTCAACTCTGCAGAAACAGACAACAAATGATGAGTTTTGCAAAGGTGGAATCATGGATGGATGCAGATACTGACCCTATTCCTGACACAAACAAAAATATCAGAAACACCTCTTGCGTCATAAAAGATTACACATGGTAAAGCTAATGCTAGTGCAGAATCAGGTCCCCTCCTGCTATACAAAATGGTTCCCTCTTATTTGCCTCCATGTGCTACTTGCAGAAATGCTTTCTTTTAGACTCTCAAGCCAAGATTGTATTATAAATATAAAATGTAATTATATTACATAAAATTAAATAAAATGGCCAGTACACAATGACCTAGATAAAACCATATAGACTTCATGATGATTTGAAGTCTGAACCCAGATTTGGGTCTACATTTCTCAACTAAATCATTGGCTTTAATACAGGATGAACATTAAACTCTATATATCCAAGCAATAATGTGTTTTAGACCTGGATTCAAAGATTTTGATATGAGCCTCTATTTTTAGGATACCCTGGAAGTTTAATACCATTCACAAATCATCCGACCTTAGCCTGAAGCCCTTACTCATGATCTTTTGCCAAGCTGTTATATGCCTTAAGGCACAGATGTCTGTGGCACAGAAAATCATGTTCAAAGTGAAACAATCCCAGTGATCTGCAGGAGGAATGGGGAACACCGTTTCCTTCTGGTCTTCAAAACTACCTGCATCTAGGGTTCCCTGGGAGGATTGACTGCCATGAACAGATGATACATAATTCAGCAACCAAGACACATATGATACACCTTAACCTTTGCAAACTATTTCCATGCTAAGTTATTTCACAACACACAGTAATTTTTAAATGCAAATGATGCCAGACAGCACCTGGGGCCTCGGATACAAAGGAAAGAACATACATTGGTTAGGTAGTACTACAAATTCCTAATTTGGGGCTCAGCACAGCTTAGATCACTTCCCACACTATAGAAACTGAACTTTCTGTAAGAAAATAAGGCTGCTGAATTGGGGGGGAACATTACAGCTGCTAGTTTAGAGTCCTGAGTCAAGATACTGTGTTTCTTGTGCAGATAACACTTTCCCCTGGTGAATCCAAAGAGCTGACAGTGTGTGTCTATGCAGAAACTAACAGAATACACTGAAATCAGCTAGAATTATTTAGTGAGTTCCTGCTATGAATGTGTCTGCATTAATTTAATATTAATTTACAGAAAATCACATTACCATATAAGTTTGGCAACTCATACCTTTACAAGCCTACACCTTTACTAACCAATCTCTGTAAATCAACTAAAGGGAATGTAGAAAGGGTTTTGTTCCAGTTTAACTAGATAAAGTTTGGAGCAAATGACTGCTGTAGTCAGACCTGGCATGGACCTGACTGATTTTCTTGGTGTCTACGTAATGTAGATGTTTATTTTTTCAAAAACTGCCACGTCAATTTCTTTTGGAGCAATGAATTTTCACCAACATCTCAGAAATAAACTCAAGCCCTTTTCCTTCTTCCCACTGTGTCCCACACCAAATAGGCAGACGGCTGTATGCATTCCTGTTAGGTTTGTTATGTATTTGTATAGCTCTGGTTATTTACAAGATTAAAGCTGAACACTGACCTATACCTGATTCCTCAGTGAGCTAAAAAAGGTCTATTTTGAAGCGGTAATTTAGACTTTTAGGATTCCAAGTTAGTCAGGTGCACAGATTTCCATTACGTAGCTCAAAAATTTCAGCATGAATCCCTAGTGCACCATCCTCTGCTAGAAAGTAACAATGAAAATGGCATTGAGAACTGCAAATTTCTTCTCACTCTATGCCTTCAGCTCAATCTCCAGAGCAGAAGGTCTCTTCTCTAAGCTGACCAGCTAAGGATTTAGACAAGTTTTATTTCCCTTATTACAAAACAACCACATACTAAAGAGAAGTTGTAGATTCACTTTCTGTCCTCAGTGACCCCTGCAGTTAGCAATTTGGTACTTACCATTCTGGGGACTCTGAGGTTTTATCTCATTGAAACCCAAGAGGCTGGAAAGCTCCTCATCATACCAGACAAGCAACTCCTCATTTTTATTGATTTTCCTGGTGGAGCGATAATATAACTGGCTGTTTTCTAAGTAAGCTTCCAAGTTCTGCTCCTTGCTATTGGTAGCTGCTTGTACAAGTCTCATCCAAGGCAGTCCTGTGGGACTGTGCACAGACGTAACATCTACCTGTAAGACAGGACACATAAAAGGGAAGTTACAGGTCTTGAGAGCCAGAGTAAGATTTCCATCACGTTCAAGAACAAAGCCTGTTTTCTGCCTCATGCTGAGCGCATATGACAAAGCTGTGAGCCCAATACATACACCAACATCACCAAATCCAAAGTCATCATAGGAAAAAGGCTTCCCCTGTGTGAGTGCTAAGAACTCTGGGAATGCAGCTGCATAGGAAGGAGAAGGAGACACCAATGTCCACGTGTAACATTGAATGGCAATGCCAGGCCTGGTATGTTGGTCAGTCCCTGGCCCGCTCATGTTCTCCGTCCTATGCAGGTTATCCCATGAGACAGTGCCAGGTGTGGATCACAGAGGTACAGAAGGTGTGATCCTCTGTAAGAAGGGGTCTCAGTCCCCATGGGAAAAACAGAATTAGGTATTCCTATTCTTACCTTCAATAAATAATTAAATTTATTTCAAGGTATCTAAACAGATAAAACTTCATCAGATCAGTATTCCTCAATAAATAATTTCTGAGAGTTGCAGGGGGTTGATTTACTTTCAGTTTGTGAAAGAAAATACCAAATAAATTAGGCCAAAAAACATGGCTCAGGTTGTAAGGTCAGGCACTAAAAAGTTAAAAAAATAATATTAAGTCTACTACTCAAATTAAAATTCCATTCTGTGTGGATATTGAAGTATAGTCCTCAGCCACACATAAACTTTTATCCACAGGACTCCTGAGTCATTTAGTCACAGGTTGACTATGCTCTGAACATAAAATAACTACAAAACATTTGGCTTGGTCTTCCTCTTTCAGTGTGACTCCCATCTTAGTTACTTTATTACACCGAATAGGGAATTATTTATTTCTTTATAGGATTTTCCTTGGTGTTTACCACAGCAGATCTATGCCCTCTGCAGTATTTGAAAGATGGGGAAGATTTTCACAGCTTGAAGGCTGAAACATAGGGCAATCAAGGGCAGCATTTACATGCATAAAAAGCCTCAACTAATTTTTGAAGCATTAAGTCATTGTTTAGAAAGGAAAAAGTTTGAAAATGAAAAATGCCTAATGACAAGTATGATCTAGATTTCACCCCAAGCAATGTATAGCTCTTTGTTTTCCACTAATTGCAGGGCAGCCATTCACTGGTGTTTGGTATCAAAAACAGTATTTTGGCTAATTATTTCTCTGGTTTTAACTGACCGTTCCCTATCATGAAAAGTACAATCAATTAGTAGCTTGGACACAAGAATGAAACATTAAGGGACCATTAGGATGAGAGTTAATTAGTATAAGGAAGAAAATAGAGTGGCCTGTAACTGGTTCTCTCTAAATGCCACGGTAATTAACAATGATTGAGAAATACAAGTGTCTGACAGCGACACAAGAACACCCACCCACACACAGTGGTCATAACTAATAGCTATGACAGAGGCTGTCATATTTTAGTTGCTAAGTTTCAGAAATGCTGAGAAGCCACCCAGTGCTCCAAGCAAAGTCAAAGGAGCACAGCTCCTTCAGGAACCAGGACTCCAGGGAAAGAGCTCAGTGAGCCTAACGAAGCTGCGGAGGAATACCAGACATAAGATCCGGGTGCTGCCAAATAGAAGCACAGACCAGCTTTAGTTTTTCTGTGTGTTTAGAGTCACCATGGACCTGGCAAGTCCACCCTCCTCAGGAGATGGCAATCCCTCAGATGAATCCTTTGCACTCATATACGAGGAAAGGGCTTCACAGCCCAGCAGGCTCAATCATAGCTGGACTATGGAAGCAACGTGGCTTCCTTGGGAGAGGTTGGAGGAGAAGGGAGAGAATATGACTCTTCCTTGAAACCCACAAGAAGCTGTAAGGGGTAGAGGAACTCAGCTGGAAAGAACTACCTGTGCCAAGGGTTGCCAAGGCAAGCGTATAAACTGGGCCAAGGAGCTCAAATTAAGGTCTCCAAGTGGATGAGAGAAAAACTATGGAGCTCCCTTTTGGTCTAAACAAAAAAGCCCAAGATGAGGAAACATTGTTAGAAATAATATTCCCCAAATTCTTGCCAAATTATTCCTGTGCGTATTCTGTTTGTACTATAGCCAGCAGAGCAAAATCCATTTCTTGTTCTGCATTTCAGTGCCATGACAACAAAGTATCATGATTGAATTGTTAATTAATTGATTACACACAGAGTTAGGAGCTTAACAGTAATTCCTGATTTCTGGAAGGTTTACTTTTAATTATGAGTAGTTAACAGGATATGGGACTACCGATTGCATCTGAAACAGCTACTTGCAGAGAATTCCATGTATTTACTGCCAAAAGACAGAGATCTGAGCCAACTCAGGCATCCCATTTCATTGCTGCATAGCAATTACTTAGCTCAAGTGTAGAAAAACACTAAAGCCATCCCTCCAGAGGGCTCTTCCAAAGTAGAAACCCTTTGAGGCTCTTTCTTGAGTCTACAGTAATTCAAAACTCCCAGGAGAAATACCGATGTATTCCATAAATAAAGCCTCATTTCAGGACAGGTTTCTCTCCAAAGAGTTTGTCGATCTCCTGGAGTGCTAATAACACTGTCCAAGAAAGTAAACTTGTGCCAGACTCAAAACAGTCAGATAAACCCTGAAACCTTTTACTCTCTTTCTTACTTTGTTTAAAGCAGAAGTGTAAAACAGGTATCTCCCAACAACTGTATCTTCCATTTTACACACCCCCCCCCTGGGATTTCTCTCCTCCAGAGCACAGAAATCTTAGGTGAACCTGGATCTATCCCAGATCCACCCATGCCATGGAATGTGGGAAATTGGCTTTCCTCACACCATAAAACACTACCTCTCCATCTTCATCTAGACCAATGGTGACTGAAAGGCACTCCAAGACTCAGAAAGCCAGAGTAACAGGCCAGCATGAAATATGCATTGCTCAAATCAAAATGTTACGATAAACAGCAGCCATGGATCAAAAAAATTTGGGGAATTAAAGTTAGAAAGTTAATACTCCATCACAATCCTGGGGTTTCTGCCTTCTCTACAGTGATTGAAAAGTGTAGCTCTAAAACAGACACACACTTCCAAGGTAACTTTAGGAGGTCCGTGTACTAACAGCAGTGAGTTGTGGCTGCCTGAAGATTGTGTGGACTAGTTGCTCAACTGCCATGGTGATTTCACTTTTATGGGTGACTGAGCAAACTGTGTTAGCACTTGCTTGGATCTGTCAATAAATGCTGTGAATCCACCACCTGCAGGAATCAGGCTGTCACACCTGATAAATACCCTTAGTCCTTTGTAAGGATGAAACATGAGCATGAGGTCTCTAAACTGTTTGTCCCTCTCCCCTTCTAGTCCACATCAGTGCTGAAGCAGATCATCAGTCGTCAGCACAGAAGTGGAACTTCGTATTCTTCCTGCAAAGGAAAGGGTTTTCGCTGAGGTCCCTCTAATCTACAGCTCATAAATCAGAAATGCATTGATTACTTCTCCCCTTTGAAGAAGCTGTTGCTCACACTGAACAAAACAAAAAACCTATCCCCTGCAAAGTTACCTTCTCAGGGGTGGTGTAGCTCTTTTTGATATGACTGACATTAAACACTGTTTTCTCATACCTTAAATACATAGTGGATGTTCCGTCTTTCAGAACACTTGAGAGCAATAAAAGCTACAGTGTCCAGCAAGGTGTTCTGGAGCATGCATGGTCCAAAAACAACTTCTTCAGGGATGTCTTTTGTGGTATGAACAGTAGCCAATATGTCCGGAAAATGGTGATGCAGAAGCTTGTTGTCACTTGTCCAAAGGAATTTAGGCAAAGATGTAAGTTCCATTATAAACCTATAAAATACACAAGAAATCACATCTGGAACAGAGATGGAAGTGGAAGGGGGCATCACTACTTACAATACAGAGACTTCCAGGACTATAGGTGAATCGTAAGAGCATGCCAGGACATTGTTGGTTACCGAGTTTACAGCATTACAACATCCAGTTTAGAAAGATTACTCTGCACTAAACCAAAATCTTAGGTTTGTAAACAAGTGAGTTACTCTTCCTGGAATAGGCAGACACTCCAAGAATTCAACTGCTACTCTCTACAGCCAGAAATGAGACGCTTTGGGAACAGTTAGGAGAAATTTCAGAGTAGAACTCAGCATATTCTTTTTCAGCATATTCTCAGATATCCTTCTTAATTATTAATAGTTTGTAGAGGTGTGAAGAAAGGTAGAGAAGGAGAAAAGCAACAAAAAAAGCAAGCACTTTTTGAAATACATTTTTTAAAAGTTGAGCTTTTTTATATGTTTCAGTCTAGTTTCTGGTTAAGATGACACAAAACTAGAAATAATTCCCAAGTCTATCCAACCTGAATGCAGAAAATCTGCAGAGATCACTGAAAAATGTCTCAAAATATATGTTAGCAGCTGTTGTTGAGAAAATCAAATCAGATTACGACTCTTTGCATAGTGATACTCTTAGCACAATGTTAGTAGAGGATGAATTTTCCTGCCTGAATATAGAATAATATATTTTTCAGTGCAGAGGCGAGTTCTGCAATACGAGCCACAATCTGTGAACTCAATATGCAGTGAGGAGGCAGGTTTGAGTTATCTGTCATTCTAAGCTTCTTTAGGTTTTTAATAAAGATATTGCTATCTCCCGCTCCCAGCTGGAGGTCATGGAAAACCCCTCATTTATGCCATCAAGAGCTGGATCAGGTCCATTAAGCAGAGAAAATTAAAGAGAACAGCAACAAGCCCTGAAGATGCCTTAGCCTAATAAATACTGAGATAGAAGGGCTGAAGATCTAGTCTAATCTTTCTCACTCTCTGACATCAGAATTGATTTGTTACTCATTGACTCCCTACTGAAATGAAGTGGTATAAAGTGCTCAGGAGAGTTCCACTGATTTAACTAAATCAATTTCTAATTCAGTATAGTTAATTCAGTATATTTTTTTTCCTCATAGGCAAGGTTTAAGATCTTACTCTAAAAATATTAAATACATGGTCACATATTCAGTATGTAGTAAACATCTGAAGGATGAAAAAATCAGATGACCAAGGCAAAGAGTGGGATCTAACGGGTGAAAAAAAAAAAAAAAAAAAAAAAGATTGGATGGTTTGCCAGGGATTAGTCCCTAAGAGAAGGATAGACTGGGTTTCTGCTTTCTTTTAATGGTAAGTTTCACTTCCTGGTTTCCCAATCATTTCTCACACCACAAAGTTACTATTGGTGTGAGAACAGAACAATGTGATATATGTGTACATTTGTAGAATATACGGAATCTGCCTAAATCAGTACAATTTATTCATATGTATGTGGTTGTTTTCATTTAAAATATATCAATGAATAAATGGTCAAGGCATGTTTGTTTAAAATAATACCAAAAATAAAAGTTTCAAACCAATCTGAAATTTAATGTGATCTCTAAAATGCTTTAAAGTCTCTCTAAATAAGAAACAATTTGTAACCTGAGCCAGTTCATTTTCTAAAGAATTCACATTCAGGAAACTCCTAATCTCTTCTGACAGTATTTTACTTATCCACTTATGACCCTAGAAGGCAACACATCTAACTAAGATTTCTCTTTCCGTGAAATTCATCTGAATTTTTTCATGTAAACTAACATAGTGCTGTACCTTGGCACACTATTGTCAGTCCAGGGGAAACAGAAATCCAGGGCCCTCAAAATGAAGCTCTCAATGAGGAAGGACATTGGATTCAAGCACACACACTCCTCCTAGGAAGAGGATGCATGCTACCTGTGTGCAGTCTTTTCCCCCAGAAATCTCAGCCCAAGCACAGTTATGAGGGTTTAAAGAAGCTACACTCCCTCCCAGCCAGCTACTGCTGCCTCCTCCCTTCCTCTATTTCAGCAGCTTTTCAGAGAGTTACCGTAAACCCAACCGTGACAAGAACCATGTCTCCAAAGACTGAAAATGTGTGGATACCAAGGGAAGCTGTGAGATTGATGTGTACCAGCACCACCTAGTGATCCCTAACACAATTCGCATCCCAAAGAAAGATTCTCCAAGGGGTGGGACACGCTCTAGCACTGTTACTTGCCAGACAGGTCTCCAACCATCAGCTCGAAAAGTACACCCATAGCCCACACCTCCAACCCTGGCAGCTCTTCTGAGCTCCTTGGCGAAGGTGCCAACAGTTCCCAACAATGTGTGTGCTGCTTGCTGTGCTGCCCACTGCCCTGCCCCAAATCCTGAATACAGATGGGTTTCCACACATCCAAAGGGATGGGCATGCACTAATCCCCTGGACACGGGAGTCTCTGCCTGTACACACCGTCTCATAGGGGAGGGAAAAGAAAGCTTGATTAGAAGCACTGCCCCATGGCAAAGGTAAATGGCCACGGAGCAATAAATCGATATTTATTCTCCAGCAAATAAACCAATATGTGCATGTCTTCAGTTCCATTTAATTACTTCGACTGAAGGATATGGGAAATGCATGTTAATATGGAACATCAGATACCTTCTAACATACCTCCTCTATGCACCCCTCCAACTCAGTATGACATTAAAGTTTGCTTTTTTCTTAGTGACTCGTTAATCTAATCTGTGATCAGAAAAAAAAAAATATCCCCCAAATCTACAGGCATAAATGCCAAACACCTTGGCATCTGGGGAAGCACGGAACTCAGCTATTGCACAGAAGGGTCAACTTTGTGAAAAGTTACGAAAAGGATTACACAGCAAATGGAATTGTTAAGGTCAGCCTTGGGCCAAAAGCTTTCCGTATGGGAAAATCAATCTTTTCCAATCATTTGTCGAATGCACCATCTAGTGACAGCTCTCAGTATAACACAGTGTCCCAAGACAAAGCGACATAGGACACCCCATAGTCCCTGGTACTGTTGGTGTGTGGTAGTGCCGCAGCTGCTGAGCATTCTGTCAGGCATGACTCGTTTCTCTCGTGAGTGGGTCATTCTCTCTGCCACTCTCTGCTCAAACAGAAGGTTAGGTGACTTCACGGGTACTGGGTTTTATAGGGTCTGGTCAGGGTTATGTCAGTTAGGGAGAGTAATTTAAATTTACAGTGCTGACTTTTTGAAAAAGAGAAGGGAGGCTGAAGATGTGCTGCTCATACTCAGAGAGTGTGGATACTCTGAAATATTATTAAGAAAAAGCGTGAATTTTTTTTTTTCTACAGTTTTCAAAGAGCATAAGCAAGCTATTTCCTCTGTACTAACTAGATTTCAGCTTCTGCTACAGTGGTAAATCCATTAGCTGAGAGACAAGAGCAAGCAAACATGACTGTACTACTTTCAAAAATGAGCTGCTACCTCTGCAAAAGGTTGTGCTGCATCCTGTGGGCTTTCCAAACTCTCCTGGCTCAGAGGTCTCTATTTCAAAGTGGAGATTCATCCACAGGACAATACTGGAACAAGTCCTGCCTCCTGTAAAGGTGAGCAGTGGTAAGGGGTTATCAGGTAGCTGCAGCCCTTATCATGGAGAACTGAAATACTGACTTCCTCAGAAGTAAAGACTGAGTTTTGAAACATGCCTTCGGAGGAGAGAAACAAACGTAATTGATTTACTTTCTGAACTCTGATGGAGCAAAGGAAACCAGAACAGCTAAGCTGAAGGGAAGTAAAAGGACCATGGACAACAGGAGTAAGAGGTATAAAACTATAAAACTGGTATCACAGTAATACTGAGGCTGGACTGTGGAACTCAGCAACTTCAGCATAAAAGAGGGTACCCACAGACAACCTAGGTAAAGCATTTCTACCTGCAGACTTTTTAAAATTACATTTCAAGATGACTTTTTAATGGCTGTTGCTGTAAGGAAACTTATCAGGCTGTATGACACTTTTAAAGAAAGTTTACTAACACAGATTTTACCTTTGTCCCATGAGTTTAAGGATGGTGGTGTCTGGAAAATGCGCACCAAGGTGCCTTTTCACAGCACAGCTCAGGAAACTTCTGCAGTATCCCAAGTCTAAATCCACATAATGCTCTTCCTCCAGTAAGTCCAGTCAAATACCCATTGACAGTTTGCAAAAGAAAATCTCAACAGCAGATGGGCATGAGGTTGCCCAGGGCCCTAATCAGCTCTGCTCTTTTCAGTCCTGCCACCATTCACTGCAAACCCAGAGACAGCTGCCAGAGAGCATCTGCTGGATTCTCAGAGAGGGTCAGGAGGTGTGTGACTACACTATGGCACTTGCCAGTGCAGAAGGCAGCTGCATAACAGTCAATGGAACTTCATACCTTGAAAGTACCAAGAGATATCTTAGAAGAGCAGCAAAGCATGCAGCGCTCAAAATAGATGGCAGAAATGAGCTAGAACAAAGAAAGATCATGTGTAAGTAGTCCAGAATATAAATCTCAAATACTTCTCAATTTGGATGGAAGTACATGCTTTTCATTTGGTTTTAATCTAAATCAAAAACTTCAGCCACAGCCAAGAATCTTGGGAGGTTATTTCACAACTTTCCTTAGTTTTCAGGAACCTCATACTTGAATCTCAGTGAGCATTCTACACCAAACCATGAACCCAGTACTTGAGCTCTTGTTTCATTTCAAATGTGGTCTCAATACAAATCTCACATCTTTGACAACAGTCTTCATAGTCTAAGGAAAGTCATTAGGAAGCTACAAACGAAGTCATAATGAGAAATGGAGAAGGTATACTAGAATGCCTGACATTTTTCTTTGACAGGCTGAAGTAGGGGAATTGCTCATATTCTTTCCAGGAAATGAAGCACAGAGAAATTACCATAACAGAGAATCTCCAAGACTTCAGCAGTTCCTGTCCCTCTGGGCTCACCCAACATGTCTCTGAGAGGGTGAAATAAAATTAATATTTATAGTGCT